TCTCTCTCTCTCTCTCTCTCTGTGTCTCAAAAAAGAAAAAAAAATAACCTCTTCAAAAAATAAATAAAATATGAGGAAAAGAGGCTCAGTTAGAGGAGCAGGTGACACTTGATCTTAGAGTTGTAAGTTCAAGCCTCACATTGGGTGAAGAGTTTACATACATATATACAAATCTTAAAAACAGACTTAAACCTCTTATTATCTTGCCAAAGTCATTAAATACTATTTAGCAAAAGCCAAACTTTCTTTTTAAAGTTTAGAAAAAATCATTTATTTCTGGTATTTGGTATGCAAAATACATTATTATGATTTGCCATCATAAAAACCACATTTTTATTAGGATATTTATTTATACTAAAGAACCTAATAATTACATCTTAGATATAATAACATTGTCAAATTGACTTATGTATATCTACTACATAGAGTAAAATTGGCTTCCAACTTTTCGGTATGTGCTCATGACAATTTCTATTTACTAACTTCTCATAGACTCTTAAAAGTCTATCTTTATAATTACTATCATATCTATTGTCTTTTAAAAAGGCATAGGCATGGTAGATGTAATATTCAATATATTATCAAGCATATTCTTAAGTATTTGTATTTTATTAATGTAGCATATTATGATATAATAATAATACCACTGCTACTATCATTACTGTCACTATTGCTGCTACTACTACTACTACTGGCTAATACTTATCAACTGTCTGCTATGTTCTAGGCATTGTTTTTAACATTTTACATCTAGAACTAACATAATTATATGAAGCTACTCTGTTATCCTCATTGATTTAGAAAAAAATATCTACTTCATCTCTATGAAACTCAGTATCCTCATCTATTACAATAGATGAGCTTTAAAATCACGTAAGTTCCTTTCTAGTTCCCTAAATATCTCATACACAGGATAACTAACTTTTTATGACAAATGGTGAATGCTTGCTTTATCTCAAGTCATATGATTGAAAAGAAAGAGGGGGAGAAATTGATATTATGGTTAAAAATGACAACTGTCCAAGGATATAGAAAGAAGAGTAACTACATAACTATATATATGTATGTATATGTGTATATTTGTAAAACAATTATATATAATAATTATTTACAATAATTATATATAATAATTATATATATAGTCCTTATTACTATCTTTTTTTCAATTAAAGAAAGTAATAAGAGTCCCAGAAAAATGTTCATAGTAGGTTCTAAATAAATGATAGTCATTATCATTTATTGATATAATTTAAAATGTAATATGTGGTTGCTATGGAATTGTTGAGAGTGGCAGTCAAGAAAAAATTCTTGAGATATTTTATGGTGCAACTTAGTAAGTTTCTTTAAGTTGCATGGGACAGGACAATGGGCAGAAATAACTGCACTTTTTGCTGTATTAAGCTGGTGATTATATGCTTAATGCTCAAAGGGAAGGGGTCATGCAGGGAGTATTACATCATAAATGTCTGTCAAATTTCTACTCATAAAACTGCTTTCGTAAGATTTCTCTGGTTCTTATCATTCAGATCAATATGAACTGTCGGTGAGATTTATAGGCAGTCATGAGACTCTTTAAGAAGGTAGCACCCAGGGGTGCCTGGGTGCCTCAGTTGGTTAAGCCTTCGATTTCAGCTCAGGTCATGACTTCATGGTTCTGTGAGTTCGAGCCCTGTATCTGGCTCTGTGCTAACAGCCTGAAGCCTGGTTCAGATTTTGTGTCTCCTCCCCCTCTCTGTGCCCCTCCCATGCTCATGTTCTGTCTCTCAATAAATAAAAAAGTTAAAGAAATTTATTTAAAAAAAATTTTAAAAAAAGAATGTAGGGACTAGCACATATGTTAGCATTATTGAAACAATGCAGGCTATAGGTCAGCCTTCTGAGTTAAAGGTGAACATTTTTTTTTGCTTCTATCTTTCATTACTGTAACATTGTTTATACCATATGTAATTATAAATTTCAAGGGAATCAACATATAGCATATTTTTGAACCAATAATTTTACTGGAAGCTAACAATTGTGTTATCAAGGACATTAAGTTGTATGTTAATTTGAACAAATCTAGATTGCTGGTTTGAATAATTGGTTGAATACTTTATATGAATTATTATAATTATAATAGTAAACTATTTTTATGTTCAGCCTCAATAATCTTTCATCAAAAATAACAGAAACTATACATCCTCAGCGTCATTGTTTCAAGTTTTCCAATTTTGTTTTTACTTCAGACTTATGAATTTTAGACTCACATGAACATAAATTTACCTGGGTAACTGATTCTCTTCAAGGTGCTGGAGGTCATTTATATGAAAGACAATGAACTGTGAAATAAATAAATTGAAACTTAAATTAGTATCATAATTAGTTTAATAAAAATATTTAATTATATGTGAGCACTTTTAACATTTCTTAAATGTCATAAAAATTTTAATTTTGTGTAATGCTTCTTGAATGTTTTTCTATCACCACAATGTCAATATCTTAATTTTTAAAAACTGATTCAGAAAGACTGTGAACGTTGGTATGCTTAGAACCCTGCTGTGAACCAATAATTGCAGGATCCCAATAATTCTATCTAAAAAATTATCAAATATTTAATACTATCATTTAATGCATGTAGTTAGTGAAAGTAGAAAATGATTTTCTACAGATAGTGCCCCTGCCATATAAATGTATATGTATTATAAAGCATACACACTGGAAAAGTGAAAGCAAAAATAAGTAAATCACATGATTGAACACTCTGGTTGACTCTAATGAGAATTGGAGTCCAAAGAAGCTAATAATATGCAGTAAATATCTCTCTCTGTATCTGTATTTATGGTTTATAATACATCAAAATTGGCAACGTATTTTATTTTATCCACCAAAGTTTTGCAAACGATTTACCATTTCATGTTTTAGCTACCATGCAAAAGCGTCTGAAGAAGGAGAAAAAAGCCAAGAGAAAACTGCAGGAAGCCTTGGAATTTGAAACAAAACGCAGGGAACAAGTGGAACAAGCACTTAAGCAAGCCACTACTAGTGATGGTGACTTGAGGAGTTTGAAAGGTAATGTCTCATTTAAAAAAGATAGAGAGGAAGAAGGAAGGAAGGAAGAAAGTAAAGAAGGAAGAGAAAGAAAGAAAAGAAAAGAAAAAGGAAAGGAAAAGAAAAGAAAAAGGAAAAGAAAGGAAGGAAGGAGGGAGGGAAGGAGGGTGGGAGGAAGGAAGGAAGGAAGGAAGGAAGGAAGGAAGGGGCTTTGCTCAAGAATCATTAAAAAATCCATTTGAGGCTAAGTGCTTTGGGTTATTAATTAAATGTGTCAAAATAATCCCTACTCTGAGAGATACAAATAGTCTAGGAATAACAGGAAATCCTGCTGACTTTTGCAGTAGAAACACTAATATTGATAACATCCTTGCACATAAAATGTAAGTGTTTTACTCTTATGTGGATCCTGAGAAACTTAACAAAAGACCATGGGGGAGGGGAAGGAAAAAAAAGTTAGAGAGGGAGAAAGCCAAACCATAAGAGACTCTTAAAACCTGGAAATAAACTGAGGGTTGATGGGGGGTGGGAGGGAGGGGAGGGTGGGTGATGGGCATTGAGGAGGGCACCTGTTGGTGCAAACCAATTTGACAATAAATTTCATATTAAAAAATGTAAGTGTTTTAGGTCCATTCATATTAAAATATGCTGATGTTTGGTGTACTCTATTTTAATGAATTATAGGATCTTGATTTCTTTAATGTAGATTGCATCAGTGTTGAGGGTTTAAGGAGGACCTAGTTGAAAAAGAATGCTCTAAGTACATCCCGGAAATTCTGTGAGAAGAGAAGCTTTTGTCATGAAATCTCTTAATTCCAAATTTTTTATTACATTTTCAATTATTAAATCCCACAACATCATTTCATCTCATAGAATATTCAGGTTCTTCTTTCATAGCTCATTGACAGCTTGTATGTTTAACTGATACGTTAAATACATAGGTGTATATTAACTGATAAATGTGTGTAACAAGTATAAGCCTAAGAATTTTATACATACATGTATACATGCTCTATTCACATGTATAACACAAACACAAAACTAAAAGAGTGCTTCAGGGTCCTATACTAAAAATGAATAAAGAATTTTGTACAAACGTCAGTCATATTCTTTCTTTCGAAAAGTTCAATTCCCTTTTTACTGTGACTTTCTTGGATCATTGTGCTCACAATCAGTACATATATAGTGCTAGATTATTTTAGCTCATGCTAACCATGTCTCATTGAGACACAGTAAAGAAAGAGTAAATAGGGGAGAGGGAAGATGGCGGCGTAGGAGGACGCTGGGCTCACTGCGCGTCCTGCTGATCACTTAGATTCCACCTACACCTGCCTAAATAACCCAGAAAACCACCAGAGGATTAGCAGAATGGAGTCGCC